TTACTGAGTCAGCATCTTCAAGACCACAGTGATGGTTGGAAACCAAGCTTCTCACGCACGGGAAGCCCAATTGTATAAGAAACCCAAATCTCAAACCCAATCTGCATAATTCTGGCGCAGGAACCCTGAGCGGACCACAGGTGCCAAGGAACCGAGGTGTGAACTCCTCGCCACCATTCACAGCTGCCCCCTGAGCAAGCCTCCCTGCTGGAGACAGCAACGTCCAAGGAGCTGCTGGATGAGGAGGGTTACCAAGCCCAGCTAGGAGCCAGGCTCAGTTTTCAGGCGTGCCTAAATGGCCCAATGTACAACAACGACCTCATTCCCCAAACTCTTCTCCCCAGGAAGACTTGGATGGTTTCACCTTTTAATTCCTTGTTGCTTTTCAGTAGCTGACCTTTGGAAGTGAAGGAATAGAGGGCGCTATTTGGGGGCAGGGACAGGGGTACAATGGAGAGAGCCCAACTGTCCTAATTAATGATCTATTAAAATAATTCCACTCCAAGTTCTTCATGGGATACAATAGATGAAAAAAGTCGCAACATTTTATACAACACACACACACACAAACTGTATTAGTTGACTAAAGAAACAAACTCATAGAACCTCATATGTGGATAAGAAAGAGCTTTAGGTAAAAGAGCAATCGTATACTGAGAAAACATCTCAATAAACTGGATGGCCATTTTGACCTCTGGGAGAAAGACTATCATGAGGCAGAGGTCAAACAAGCATCCACTCTCCATCTTCACAATTTTTTTCTCTACTACCCATTCCCAAGGTACCATGTCTGATACCAGTCCATACATTCCTCATTAGACTCACGTAGCACATGCAATGGTTCTGAATGCAGGAAGATCACAGGCCAGTGGGCAGAAGGTCTTGTGGATCCAGTGGCAGTGGAAGCATCTCAAAGCTGGTGCGTGTCTCCACATGTTTCCTCCGGCTCTCTGAGTGTCTCAGCAGCCGGAAAGGGAAGGTGGAGATCGACTGGGTCTGACCTCCAATGACCTATTTATCTCCGATGCGCCTCCAAATGAGGCCAACAAGCTGTGAGCTGGTTGACAGGCTAGACTCCACCCCTTCACTCAAGTTGACAGGAGATTAGGTAACTCGCCACATTGACTTAAAAGGAAAGACGCTTGGAAGGAAATACAACTTCTGAAGCCTGAACGATGAAATTATGGATGGCCCTTTTCTTTCTGTGGACCCCAGAGCACTCTCGCGTGCAGAACCACTCTCTAGCTCTCGGGGCAGGTCATTCTTTCCACCGAGCACACGGTGAGGGGGGAAAAGACTTCTTATCTGCTTTACCAGCTGGTCCAAATTAATCCTGGTCACCAAGAAGGAGGCAGGCAGTACTGTCAGATTGACCACATTGCTAGTAATTTCCCTGTATTTTAAAATTCTTAGTGAACGCATGTGGCTTTTCCAGTGGGGGCACTCCGTCTCTGTCACCCCAGGCAAGTTAGTGACTTGAAGCATCATTCATCTGGAGCCTCAAGGATTTGGCTTTGCCTCTGCCCCATGACATGTGAGACTCTCCCAAGACCGCAGGATTGCATGGCAATGGGGGAGCGAGGGGGCTTTTGGACGGAGCGCCTGGCAGAATTCTGACATGTGAGAGGCGCTTGGAAGCACTGCGGGTTCTGAGAGTGGAACAGAAAAGCAGTGTGTTCACTCAGCTACAGAGGAGTCTTGCTTCCCAGACGGCACCCAGCAGAGGGCCACTCACATCTCTCCCAGGCTCTGCCCTAGCCTGGAGAAACAGCATCCTCCAGGGAGGGGACCTAGCACACACGCTAGGCACTGGGGCAGGGTCCTCGTGACATCATCTCTTTCAGGCCTCAGGGACCCCAAAACATGTGCTGTGGGCCCCTTGCTAGAGACGGGACATTGGAGGCACAAGACAACCGAGGTCATATGCTGGTGAACTGTGGGGTCGGATCTGCATGTGGTGGTCTGACCTGGAGGCCTTCGGTCCTAGGCAGCCCGGAAACGCAGGCTTTTGGGATGAAAATGTATCAGAGGATTATTTTGGGATACTGAGAGGAGTTAGAAGGTCTACTCTGTGATAGTATCTTCTTATCTCTCTCAAAGCAAAGTACTGCTGAAAGCTGATTACAAGAAAGGCTGATGTCTAGAAGGTGTGTGGGGGGTGCTGGCATTTTTTCAGTAGAGCACAGTGATGTCCAGGGGCAAGGTCAGCTCCTCCCTCCCTCGGGGCACCAGTTGCAGGCCCCCCACCCCCACCCCCAGCTGCCTGGAAGCTGTGGCCCTGGCTGGTAAAGGCATCAGTATCCAGCCAGTCGTCCTTCAGTGCCAGGCAACGTGCTAAGTGCTTTCCAAACACCCTCTTAATCTTCGCAGCAACCATCCATCCAAGTCACAGAGGCAACCTGCGCTGTTCCTGGGCCTAGATCAGGCCTGCCTGCTCCTACACTGTGGTATTACATCATCGTGTCAATTTGGGACTCGAGAGGATTAAGAGTGAAGGGGTGGAGTCTGTCAATCAGGTGAGAGCCAATGAGGCCTGTGTGGGCATAGCCTTCCCCTGAGGGTTCTGGGAATTCCTGAATTTCCTCCTTGGAGGCAGGAGAGACACCCTTTCGCTGCTCACTCCCTGAGAGACATGCTACGGACAAGACACATGGCACTAGCTGATAGAGCCCATGCCCTGGGAACTGCAGGAGCCACATGGAGACGCCGGCCAGCACTGAGATGCTTCTACCATCACTGGATCCATAAGACTTCCCACCCACTGGCCTGTGATCTTTCTGCATTCGGCATCATTGCATGTGTTTCACGAGTCTGAAGAGGACTTTATAGATTGGTATTGGACATATGGGTTAATATTGGGTTTATGGGCTTGATCTCGGCTGGGATGTTTTCTCAATATTCAATTGCTCTTATATATAAACCTCTCTTTTATGCACATGACTGTCTATGGATTTGTTTCTCTAGTCTACCCTGACTAACACATCACCCACTAAGCCTTCTAGGCCACGCAGAGAGCACCAGTCGATCCCCACCCTCGTGATCGTCCCCGGTCCTCATCAGAGAAGAAGTCAGTCCCTGTGATGCCTTTGGCACATTCAGCCCTAGCCCTCACATCTGCTCACTCCTCTGTGACATCTGCTTTCCCAGAGCAACCACGGTGACATGCTGGTCCCCACACACCCATGGGCGTCCTCAGACTCGCCTCATCGTGTGGTTCCCCAGAAAGTCCCGCGTGCAGACCCCTGAGTGTGTCCCCTCAGCCCAGATGGGGACTCCTGCCACGGGGACACATCAGTGACGCTGCCCCGTCCGTCTCACATTCTCGGCGCCCACACGTCCCCTCTGAAGACGGTTCTCGAGGAGGGGACTGCAGCCACGAGAAACACACACCCGAAGGAGGAACGGCAGGAGAGCCTACCACCGCTCTCAAGAGTCCCGCCTCCACTGCCTGCAGAAGTCACAAGACCCGATTTGAAGGGGTGTCCCTCGAACACGGCTCCGGAAAGGGAAATGCCAGCCCGTGTTTCACTGGAATCCACGTCAAGTCCTATTCTTACGTGAAAAGCCGTCCAACAGGCCACCCAGAAACCTGGCTTAGTCACAGCTCCTTCAGAAGATTAAACGCCTCAAAAGTGTTTCAAGGAGAAGAACCGTGCAAGCCTTCTACCGGCACCTTCTTGGAAGTGGAGTGCCAGGGAGCCCAGCTATGCTGTGGGCTGGGCCTGCTTTCCCTGCCTCAGGGCCGCGGGCCGCGGGGCTGGAGGGGCTGCGGGGCTCTCGGAGAGGGACGAGCTCCCAGATGGGAGCAGGGAACAGCAAAGCCGATTTCTGGTGCACAACCAGTTCTCATGCGGAAGGGACATTACTGGGAAGCAAGTCTCAAGTGTCTAACAGGAAAGACTTTTACATGTGCCAGTGGTAGGCGGGCGAACACTGTCCTAACGATAGCCCTGTCTTCATCCCGTGGATACGTTAGCTCGTGTGGAAAAGAGGGATTCTTCAGTTATCTATCGGCAGCAGCGACTAAGCAGTGGTTCTCCACCTCCCAAAGGCCACGACCCCTTCATACAGTTCCTCATGTTGTGGGGACCCAACCATAACATTATTTGTGTTGCTACTTCAGAACTGTCATTTTGCTACTGTTATGAATCGGGTGACCCCTGTGAAAGGATTGTTGGGGGTCGAGACCCACAGGTTGAGAACGTTGGAGAGGGGCGGTTGTCCTGGATCATCTGGGTGGGCCCGACACAATCGCAAAGGTCCTTATAAGACAAACAGGAGGGTCAGAGAGATGCAACAACGACGCAGAGGGCACTCAGAGGGAGGCTGCAGGCCTCAGTGCACCTGTCTGAAGAGGGAGGAGGAGGCTATGAGCCAAGGACTTCAGACAGCTGCTAGAAGCTGCCAGAGACAGAGGGAGCTTCCAGAAGGAATGCAGCCCGCCGGCACCTTGACTTTTAGCCAACTAGGCCCCGATTTGAACTCCTGCCCTCTAGAGCTGTGATGGAATAAACCTGTGTGTGTTAAGCCACTGAACTGGCCACGATCGGTCACAGGAGCAGTAGGCAATGAATGCAATGCCTAACCTGAAGCAGCCTCTACTGGGCCAGCTGAGCTTCCCGTCCCAGGAAGTCATCAAGAAGGGAACCTTTCAGGTGCGCCACGCAGGCCATTCCTGCCTCAGATGGGGAGGAAGCTTGGACAGCAACCCCCCAGTTCTGAGAGTCTGCCTTCCATGGCGGTGCCTGGTCTTGCTTTGTATCTGACATGCTGGTCGCCCGCTGCCCGCCCCAATGCCCGCGGTGGGGGAGGCGTGCCCACTGCTTCTCCCAGGACATCTGTGGGAGTGGTGTGTCCACCACCACCCTGAGCGGGCGACTCTCCCAGGCACGAGAGCCAAGGAAGTGGGAGGAGGAGCAAAAGGCAGGCTGTGGGGTATGCCCCATTGGCACCTGGGCCCATGACTGGCTCCGAGCACACCTGCTTGCCGGGGCGCCTACCTGAGCAGAGGACGCCCTTGTTCCTGGCACAGGAGAAGTTGTCACACTCGCAGAAAGGCCCGTAGATCTTGCCGAACTCGCTCTCGAAGCAGGAGCACTGGTTACAGCTGCATTCGCCACGCCCACTGCACAGGGGCTTCCCCTCGGCCTCCCGGCACAGGTTCTGGTACACGCTCTGGTTCTCCCCTTCCTGGCACTCGCAGCGGGTGCCCAGGTGGCTGGGGTTGCACTCACACAGGCCGCAGACGTAAGTCCCATTGCCATTGCATCTGGCGCTGTCTGGCTCCAGCCGGGCGCTGCAGCTGCACGTGCACTGGTAAGCGAGTCCCACCTCCAGGCTGTCCCGGAAGCCCACAGGCCGCAGCGTGAACCTCTGCTCCACGCTTCTCCCTGGGCAGCTCCGGGCCTCCACCGACACATCAAAGGTTGCCTGGGCAGAAGGAAGACAGGGGACATCATGGCCATTGTGTGTCAAGGGGACTCTGACATTGGCCTCCCAGCCACCAGCAGCCCAATTGCCTGAAGGTGCACAAAGGACATTGCAACCAAAGCCAATGGCTGAGCAGGGCTGCTTGACCCAGCCTTCTGCACACCCACACACGGGCTGAGCCCCGGAAGTGACTCAAGTAGGAAGAGACCAGGAATCACGGATTTCTCTGGGCTTAAGGAGACTCACGGGGCTGTGCACCAGGCGCCGGGCTGCCAACTACAAGATCCATGGTTCAAGGTCACCAGTTGCCTCTCAGGAGAAAGCTGAGGCTGTCTGAACCCATCAAGATGTACAGGGCTGTCCAGATTATGCTTGGGAGCTCACTCGATGACACTGGGTGGTTTGTCAATGAAGAGAGTGTTCAGTGCACGGGTGCTGAGTTCTTTCATGTTCCTCATCTGTTGGGCTGCAACCCCAAGGTCAGCAGAGAACGAGGCCTTCTACTCCCATAGAAAGTTATAGTCCCAGAAACCCATGGGGCAGCTCTACCCTGTTCTATAGGGTCTCTGATCCAAACCAACTCACTGCTGTTGAGTCGATTCTGACTCGTGGCAGCCCTACAGGACAGAACTGCCACTGAGCTGTTAAGACTGTAGCTCTACAGGTCTAGAAAGCATCCTCTTTTTCCCTTAGAGCAGATAAGGGTGGTTTCGAACTGCTGCCCTTGTGGTCAGCAGCTCAATGTATTACCAACTATGCCACCTTTTAATCCTCACTGCCCCGAGGAAACGGGCTCATGCAGAAAGGTCAAAGGAATTAGGCAAAGGCTCTCTCAGCTCCTTTCCCCTCTTCCTCCTCATCCTCCCCCCTTCTATCCTCTCCTCAGCCTTGGCCACACTATATAGCTCGCTCCTACCCCACCCCACTTTAAAAGTCTTTTGTTCGTGTGTAGCTGCTACCCGAAAGTTGGTGGTTTGAGGCTGAGAGGCGTGGGAAGGGAGGCCTGGTGATGTACTTTGGAAGCACCTGCCGTTGAGGACCCTACGGAGCAGTGATTTGCTCTGACACGCCGGGGCCACTCTGAGCAGAATCCACGAGGTAGCAGCTAGCCCTGGTTTCCCTGTGCCCAGTGCTGTAGATACAGAGGTCACAGTGGTGCCACCTGAACATATGAGCTCTGGGGGGTGAGTGCCCACCCTGGAGGGCATCAGGACTCGGGCCAACTGCCCAGCCCTCGGTCAGCAGGTTTCCTCCCTGCGGAAGATGGATGAGATGACTCTGGAGGGCCCTTCCAGCTGGTCTGATTCCACAGACACCCCGAGTGTCCCTGCGCCCCACGTGCTCCTCTGCAAGTGGTTCCCACAGCTGAGCCTTTTACCGGCAGCCCCTGGCCCTGTGGGGTTGCAGGGCTTCCCTCAGAAGCCATGTGCCCCATACCTGCACAGACCTTTTCTCTAAACAAAGGAAGCAGGCAAGGGAGTGTTGCCAGCTCCCGAGGCTTGCCCTGGAAATGGGAAGAAAGGTGGACCTGGCTGGGGCGTAGCTGGCGGTGCCGGGAGGATGCTTGTGAGGTCTCACGTGGCTGGGATGAGGGCAGCCAGGAGGACGCCTGGCTCTATGGCCCCAGGATGTGGAGAACTCCTCCACCTGTCCCTCCTCCCCTGGGAAAAGGAACCAGGTGGGACTCGGATGACTGAGCACTCCCCTCAGAGCAGTGCCGTGTCAGCTCTGTGGAAACTCAGACCGGCCGCACGGACACCCTGCTAAAACACCACGGCAAACTACTTCGCTGTGAGTGAGGGCAGACCCACTCGTGCCTGGGGCGGGGAGCACCTGACCCTGGACGGGAGACGGGGACAGAAGCTGAGTCTGCCTCCGGGGCCCACAAGACCACCACAGAAGGCTAGTCCTTTCTCTGATGGTTCAGCAGCTCTGCCAGGTAGTCGGTCAGTGAGATCCCACCAACGAGGATCAAGGGCAGGGTGGGGATGAGCACCTTGCCAGCGGCCCCCTCGGGTGAGCAGGCCTCACACCCAGGATGGGCTAAGGACACAACCGTCCCTGTGTTTTCCTGTTTCTGAGGCCTCGAGAGGCGAGTGATTGGCCTGACGTGACAATCTGTTAACAAACTTCGCTGGACCTGCTCAATGAAAGAACCTTTAGAAACGGATGACACGACAGAAGTGAAACCTGGACCAGCAGCCTAATGCATTTCATTCTCGAATAAGTGTGGGGAGTGCCCTTCTGCGAGCAGGAGCCTCTGTCAGGAAGACCTGCCTGTGTGGAGGCGCTCAGACGAGAGCCGGCATCTGCGCTGGGTCTATGAACACGTGCTGTCAGCCTGGCCAGACCTGGCTTTAAAGCAGGCCTGGGGACATGCTCCCCCGGCCCAGCCTAGTTCAGCGGCAGGAGAGCAGGCCTTGCAGGGCCCAGGAAGGCTATAAAAAACACTCGGGGAACAGAAGACGGCCTGTTCTCCCGCTCGTTCGTCGAGGGAAGGATTCCCCCATGGAATCAGAAAAGAATCCCAGGCAGTTGGAATGCAAGCTCCTTCGCCTTGCTCCCAGATCACCAAGGACGCCAACTGATACTGAAGGCTCCCAGTTTGCGGAGACTCTCCAGTCTCCCACGCCAAGATTCCAGAGGCCCCTCAGACGGCAGCTCACCCCTCTCGTCTCGTTATCCAAGCCTCATTGCAATGCCTCTGGTTTCCCCACAGGGCTGTAGGCCGAGCCACCCTTTCAAAGAGCTGCCCAGCCCCCACCCCAACCCCCACACCCAGAGCTGAGCAGATGCCAAGTCCACTCGGATCTCAACGAGACAAAGCCCTGGGGATGGGCTGAGGGTACAAAGCCTCAGAGGGGTGGCAGGGCCACCGTGGGAAGCCCGTGACAGGGGCTCACTGGGCCCTTTGTTCCAGCCACACGACTGGCCACTCGCATACTGATTTGTCAGAACCACCTAATGAGAAAACCAATTCCCAGTGGCCAGGCCCACTCAGGTGTTTGGATGAGGGGAGAAGGATTCAGGAAAAAGCTGAACTCGCGTGAGAAGAGAATCTCATGGCAAGGTGGGCTCCCCAGGTTTTACTAAGCGACGACTCTCTTTGAGGACATCTTTGTCCCTTACCTCCTGGGACCTGTCCTGCTCCTTGCCGACAGATCTCTGAGCCCAGAGGAACAGGATCAAGTCACAGAAGCACCAACTCCCTGCGAGCAGGTCGGTTTTGACTCACAACTTACACAGGGTTTTGGAGGCCGTAACTATTCACAGGGGCAGACAGCCTCATCTTTCTCCCACTGAGCAGATGGTGGGTATGAACGCCGGACCTTGTGGTAAGCAGTCCAAAATTCATCCCACATCACCACCAGAGCTCCTAAACTACCTACAGCATAAGCACCACTCCGACAGGATACAACCTGCCTGGCTGAAACTTTAACCCACCTGTCCTATTATGGATCTGAATCGTGCCTCCCCCCAAATGTGTTGAAATCCCAACCCTTGGATGTGTGAAATTGAACCTCTTTGGAAGCAGGTAGTTTTCTTACGTTAAGGAGGCCAAATACCAGTGTAGGGTGGGTCCTGGACCTAATCACCTCTGAGTTATAAAATCTGTTGGGAGGATTTCAACTCACAGCAGAGCCGAGCTGCTGGCTCAATGATGAAAGCACAGCAGATGAGGGACACAGATGCATCCATAAGTGCAGATGGCTGGCAACACTAGAAGCTAAAACAGACAGTGAAGGAGCGTCCCCTAGAATCATGCCCAGAACCCTTCTCGCCTCCTGAACTGTAAGATTACGTTTCTGTTCTTCAGAGCCACTCACATGCAGTAATTTTTATTGCAGCCACACTAGGTAACTAGGACATGTCCCAAGGCTGCCTTCCCCATCCCTATGTGCGGGGCCCTGGGACACTTGATGACACCACTACCTCTGTCCACTTTTCTTACAACCCTTTTCTTTAGGGGTGTCCCCAGCCTTTCAGCTAGGCTCTGTACCATCCGTCCAGCCCCCCCATCACTCTGACTTGTGCACCGCCTGCCCAACCTTGGCACCCGAGAATGGAGCCACCTGCCACACAGTGGGTCCCTTCCTAAGCAAGTGTATCCTACTCTGGCTCAGCTTCAGCCCCAGCTCGGATCACTCTGCCCTCAATCCCTACCCCCTCCTCTTACTAATACCGCCCTTCACCCTCGGCTGCTCTCACCACAGCTTTCACCTTGCTGCTTTCTATATGCTACACACCCCAACGGGACCAGCCGGGCCTCCAGCTTACAGCTGGAGAACTAGCACCCGGCCTCTGAGCCTCAGCTCACACCCCACCCGACTCTGCCCTCTGTCCTCTGTGAATCCTCCCATCACCCCCCGGGGCTGACTTATTTGCATGTTTATTCGTTCTTCAGCACAAGGAGCTCCTGACTTATCGCCTTCATCTGAATATCCTGGGTGAGCATTTGGCACGCCACCCGTTACTGAAGGTGACTGGACTTCAGCAGGGCCCGTGGCCAAGCTGTGAAATGAATGACCTTGGAACAAGGGAGAAGCCTGCCAGAAAACTCTTTGAAGGAAGGC